AAATAGACTGTTTCGTAAAATGGTGATGACTTAATGATTCCAAAAGGGAGCATGGGACGGAAAAGGACCTGTTGACTAGTCTGTACAACGAAACATACACATTCTAAATTCTGAGCTTACTTATTTCATGTGACTTTTATCTGACAACTTTCTAACATCATCCTTCCACTGTCACATTGTGAATATGATTTTCAATCTTCAGAATATTTCAGTCTTTAATATATATCTATTGAATATATATCCAGTGAGCAGTGAATTATTGCTCCATTCTGTGATGATGTGAACTTTTTGTCTTGGGGTGGGGGAAAACTCCAAATCTTTTTTTTTTTTTTGCTTTACATCAAACAACGCTTTCTGTAATTTTCTTGGAAAACTACGTTAAGAGTTCAAAGACAAGAGTTCAAAACTGTGTTGTCTGGGCACAGCTAAAAGTTGATAAATATTTATATAAATTAGTAATAACAACAATCATCATCATAATCATCACACTTTGGTAGTTCTAACATACTCTGCCATTAAACATTACATGAGACTGAAACAAATGTCATGTCCTGTTAAACACCGAGTTTTCCTTTCCTTTTCAAGCATGGAATGCAGAGCACATAATTCAGCACCAAAATATGCTTGCAAAGTAATCTAGGGGTACAATCTGTTTTTAAATATGCTCTAAACATAGCAGCACAAGGATCATCAACACAAAGGCTGAGAAAACATTCTTTCAGTTCATCCTTATAACTGATGCTATTAGCAGGGCTCCTGCGGACTTCTGACAAATCAGTTACATTAACGAAGATTCTTTAAGATATCAGTGAATGATGACCGGATTGAAACTGTAAAAACTTAGGTACATGCTCATTTGTCACACAGAGAAATAAGACCTATATGAAGTACTAAAAAACTAGTTATATTTTTCTTCCTTTCCCTGCTTATTCGTTAAGGCTTCTCTATTCAAAATCTGCGTACAGAAAGATTAACTCTCGCACATGCCTGGAATGAGTCCAATCCATTTCAAGTCAGTTTTCTTCAATAAATTAGCAGATACATGAGAAAGTTCACATAAGACTTTATTTTGAGGGTTTGGTGTGTTTTTTTTAGTTCAGAGAAACATTATTATATTTTACCTTTGTGATGTGTGTAGTCGTGGTAGTAGAAATTGACTCTGATGTAATAGTCTGTGCACTCAGCAGCACACCAGCATTGCCACCAGCACTACCATCAAACTGTAAGGAGGAAAAAAAAAAGGTACTTTTGTATTATGGCATTTAAAAACCTTGTTTTCACAGAAGAAAAGGCTGGTTTTCTTACCAAACACATTCTTTAGTTCAGTTAGAACTGAAATCTAAATAGAAGCCATCCAAGTTTCCCGAGTCATGTAAGACTGTCATTATGGCTCATTCTCGTGTAAATTTTATGATCAAAGTTACATGTTCCTTTCAGGAGCAATGACATATCACGTGTCCAAAACTATAAACGAGTTATACATTTACAGACAGCAACTAAGACCTTACATAGAAAAAAAAAAATCTTAGAACTTCAGAAGTAATACTGCTTTGTCTACAAACATTTCACTTACCTAATTCATAGCCAAAGTATAGCCTTAGCCGCAAGAGAATAGTTTTTTGAAAAGCATTTTTTTGGACATTATCTGTTTTGATCTACAAGTAACTGGAATAAAAATCAATCACCCAGCCACCATACCTGTGGAGATTCATATGTGATAGTTTTAGTTTCTGTTTGAACAATTGGAACTTCTTTAGTGGAGATTTCAGTTCTCTGTGTGGCATCTGAAATGGTTACCATCTCTGTTTTCACTACTGGAGGCTGTAGTGCAAGAAATAATCAATCAATTCAAAAGACAGAATAAGGTTTGTAAAGTGAGGCCAAGAAACCAAACCCAAAAACTCAAGAAAATCGTAACAATAAGATAAGTATTTGACTGTCTTCCCAATCAAAAAGCATGCAATAAATAAGCAAAGTGAAATGAAGCTAATACAAGGCAAAGATTTCTGCACAGGCCATAACAGTAAAAAAAAAAAAAAAAAAAAAAAAAAAAAAAGAAAAAAAAAGAAAAAAAAGAAAAAACTAGTCCAACCCCTTGGAATAATAAACCAGCCCTCTAGTAGCTATATAACATGGTAGGAAAATTTAATCACCTAATAACCTTGCCAAAGTTCTGTGTTTCAGCCAACAGTACATATCACACTACTATCAACTGGTAAAACCAAGCTGCAACACAGGTATTGAAAATGGGTAAAAGAGCATCACTAGGGAAAAAAAAATAAATCTTAGTTTGCATAAAGAAGCTGATAGCTAGCTCAGATGGATAAACTTCATATTAGAGTTAATCTGGGAAAATGCTTATCACTGCTCGGTCAAACTGCAAATAAGGACTAGAAATTCCAAGCAAATTACGTAGAAGTTCAACTTTTTAATACATACTACTTCTGGAACAGAAAAACAACTTTGACAACTGGATTTTAAGCAGTCTAAATTCAATGTAATAATTCCAGAAATAAATGTCGTCTTTTAGAATCACAGAATTGTAGAACGGTTTGGGTTGGAAGGAACCTTTCAAGGCCATCTAGTCCAACCCCCTGCAATGAGCAGGGACAGCTTCAACTAGTTCAGGTTGCTCAGAGCCCCGTCCAACCTGACCTGGAATGTTTCCAGGGATGGGTCATCTACCACCTCTCTGGGCAACCTGTGCCAGTGTGTCACCACCCTCATTGTGAAAAATTTCTTCCTTATATCTATATATTTTGATATACAACAATCCTAAAAATCAATTTTAGTCATTTAGAGTCAGCTAGTGGTGTTCCCTGCAATATCACAAAGCAAGCAATTAACCAGGGGTCTGTAAGCCAGTGAACTTGTGACTTAGCTTATTGGAGAAGATTTTCAATATACTTAAGAACTTTAAAAAAAAAAAAATCTATTAAAGCCTTTTGATATTTTTCTAGATGCACCAATTGCTATCTCCCATTGATTTTGGATGCACATGGGGGGAAATCCCAGGGAATAAAAAAAACCCCTTTCTTTCCTTCACACACTTCTCCCTTCTCGCCTTCCTCCAAACCAGCTATGTTTTTAGGAAGTGTGGGTGCCTGCAACCCACAACCCTTTCAAGCCATTAATCAGAATACTTGTGTATGCAAAAGACAACAAAAGAAAGAAGGTAAGTTGTTTGGATTTAAGTGCAAAGAAAAAAAAAATTGCCACCATTGCAAGAACAAGCAGGTAGATAACTAGGAAAAAAACCACCCAACTGTTGAAAAACTCAGCAGAAGATCATGCCAACTTTACAGAGACGCATCCCTGCGCTTCATTTTTTCTCTTTCTGCTTCTTTATAAAGTTTGCCCAGTAATGAACCTTTCAACCTTGTTTGGCTTAAAACAACTGACTGAGACTGGAACCCAAGCATGCTTCCCTAAATATCTACTGCACTAGAAGACTTGATAGTAAGACTGTGATACACGCTTCATCCCTTTACAGTGCAGTGCTCTCACCTATGCAATTTTTAGCCACGCTATTTCTAGTCTACAACTCCATAACATTTTTTAAAAGGAAAAAAAAAAAAAGGCAAGAAAAGCAGCGAGTAATAAGGGGGAAAAAAAGAAACAAAAATTTGTGACGGGTGTTTTCTAATTTCAATTGCCGATAGCTTTCCAATCACAATTACATGTCATGGACGTGTCAAAAACAATTGACAAATAGACAAGACGAGACTCAAAACATTGGAAACATGTAAATAATAAATCTACATTATGTATGTGCATATAAAATAAGGGGGAGATAAAAAGCAGATGTCAGTCTTCGGAAGGTTTGCCTTACTGGTGATTCTCACTCAGTTCTAGCAAAAAGTCAGAAACCATAACTGAAGGAGACAGAATTTCACTGCTCATCAAATGGTTTCCCCTTCCAAATGATCTGAATCTTGTTGGATGCCTGAAGAGCTGGAGGAATAGGAGAAGAAGAAAGGCAGGTATATTTTCACCCCAAGAAATATCTCTGCTTAATCTAGTTGTCAAACTGTTCTACCATTTACCTCTGAACAACAAATTATTTGTGGTGCAACATCAATGTCAACATGAGACACATCTCCATTGAGTTTGAGGTGTTCTTCCTCTCTTTCTTCACCTAAATCTTGCTTACTTTCCTCTGACAAATTCTTCTCTTCTTTAGCTATGGTAACTGCATTTTCCTGGACCAAATCTTCATCTGTAACTTGTGTGTGCTCATCTGGTACATTTAGTTTACTGCCTTCTGGTGTGGCTTCCACATGCTGTACTTTTTCTTCATGTTCTTTCCTTTTCATGTCTTCCTCTTCTTCCTGTTCTTCCCTGATGACTTCCTCAATTGCCCTATGATGTGGCTGGTATTCTCCCACCTCTTCATCCTCACTCTCACTACTACTGCTGCTGCTGCTACTATCTGATGGCAATGATGAAGAGTCCTTTTTTGACAGATGCTCCACCTTACATGTTTCCCCAGCATCAGTGGCAACTTGCATTTTCCCTTTGTTGGTTTCGTCTATGACTAGTGTTTCTTCTATCCCAACCTCTGCCTGCTTCTTCTCCTCCACTATGTCCAGAGTCTCATGTGAACTCTGCACAAAAAACATGGATGAGGAAAAACAAAAGTAGAGTATATGAATAAATTAAAATGATGGAAATAAAATTAGCTGATGGCTGGTTCATGTCATGTAGAAGACAAAAGATGGTTGTGATGGTTAACTGTAAAAGGAAGGAAAGAAAGAATGAAGATGGATTGGAAGAGTTAGAGCCAAATTTAACTATGGAAAAAAATCAGTAGAACCTTATCAGCATCGCTGACTCCAGTACAAGGCCCTTCTGCTCTGGAAGCATGTCTCTGCGAAACAAAAAGCAATCAGAGGACAAAAATCAATGCATAACTCTTTTCAACAGTGCAACATCCTCCAAGCAAGCTTTTAAGGATATATATACATGATACTAGGCAGATAGCGTGTATTCACTGCAAGACTCACACAGAACTATGCTCCTTTCCTTCCACTTCACTGAAATATTCCATTCAAAAGTAGGTAAGAATTATGGACATTATTAATTTGGGTAAGAATTTAATTATGAAAGACTGAAAGTAAAAGCATGAATGCAGTGGCCAGTGATGCTACTGAGGCAGTTATTTCTCTCAGTTAAATCAGAAATTAAGAATAAATAATACTAAGGGAAAGTAAAAAAAGCCTAAAACTATTTAGCATTCTAATATCAGTTTATCATCATACAAAATAAAAAAAAAGACTTTAGTGTAAGATTTTATTAGTTGCTCATATTTGGTCTGTTACTTCATGTAACAATGCATGACGGAGAGTGTTTAGGGTGGTATGTTGTCAGAATAGCAATACACTATTACCCAGGTGATGCCATTAGAATTCAGTTTGAAGGCAAAATTATGAGATTAAAGCAGTTATATTTGTATTTGTTCCGCAACAAAATGATCTGTGATGGATATCCCAGAAAGCCCACTGTAAATTACATATGAGGTAGGGTTTTTTTTGATCTAATGTATTTTTAGCGGTTTGCAGCAAAATTTGAGTTCAAACGATAAGAATACAAAAATCAACACATCATCTGTGACTTAATCCTAGCTTTTATTGCTGTTTACCAAGCAAAGCACCTACAAGGTGTAAGCCAGCTCAAAGAAGCACCAATTCGTATTTTTTGACTGTTGCAAACCCAGAGTTAACCTCTCCAGCTGGATCTCTCCCTCTCCCCGCTGACAGAAGCCACCAGCTTACCGGCTCTGCTACACGAGAAGTAAGCTGCAGGCAGGCCCCCTTTCTGGCATTTTTAAGGCGTTGGGGGTGGGTGGGACCGCT